GGAGGTGAGGCTGCTCACACGGTACCGATCACCCTTCATTTACAGAACTCCCCGGAGCCCGGCGGGTTGAGCGTGAGTTTAGTGTGTGTGAGAGGCGCAGTAATGAGACGCAGCAGCGCTGCCTGCTAAACCTGTTACAGCGCACACATGAGGAGCGCAGAGCTCGACCGCCGTCAGTGATCAAGGCCACATCACACACACTGCTGCGCTCAGCTCCTCAGCGCCGGGGATGAAGGGGTTCGCGGGACACACTCACACACGCTAGCGTTGCGTTCAGAGTGTTCTGTGTAAATGAAACGCTGTGCTGTTGTTTTCTGACCTACACAGCAGACATCCCATCATGCTCTTGTCATCAGTCAGAATGTGCTGCTGCTCAGATGAACGTCTCACTGATGGAGGGTCACTGAGTCTGAGTGTGTGTTACAGGACGAGACATCAGAGCTGTTCAACACACACCGTCAGGGATTGAAGCCTTTCAGTGAACAGTTGATTCGTGAAGATTCGATGAGTTTTTGTGAGGTCTGTGAGGAGTCATGGGTAGTGAATTGAGTCACAACTTTAGTGTTGTCAGAAAAAGCTCCTTTCTTCAGTGGTTGAAGCGCAGCTCTGTATTCATTTAAACACCAGCAGCTCATGATCCAGTGTTTTCAGTGTCTCAGAGATGCTCAGGTTTATTATTACTATAGTAATATATTTATTAAATTTTTTATTTATCATTATTATAATTATTATTGTATATTCACATTGGCTGTGCTCCATTAAAACATCAGTGCCGTCTGACCCTCCTGTGGCGGTTTGTCACCTTTTCCACCCCGATGTGTTTGGGTCCCTGAATAATGACATTTGTATAATTGGGCTCGTGTTTTATGACTGTGTGTGTGTGTGATTGTGTGTGTGTGTGTTTGTGAGTTTGTGTGTGTGAGTGTGTGTCTGTGAGTGTGTGTCTGTGAGTGTGTGTCTGTGAGTGTGTGTCTGTGAGAGTGTGTCTGTGAGAGTGTCTGTGAGAGTGTGTCTGTGAGAGTGTGTCTGTGAGAGTGTGTGTGTGAGTGTGAGAGTGTGTGTGTGTGAGAGTGTGTCTGTGTGTGTGTGTGTGTGTGTGTGAGAGTGTGTGAGTGTGTGTGTGTGTGTGTGAGAGTGTGTCTGTGAGTGTCAAGTCTGCTGATGTACAGCACATACACACAGAGAATTGAAATTGCATTACTCTCAGACCCTTGGTGCATACAGATAACATAGATACAGATTAAATACAAAATACAACTATACAAATAAGGTAAAATGTAAATATATATATATAAAGCACAAGGCATATGGCAGATAGAGTGCAAACCAGTAAAAGTAAAACAGTGCAGATATAGTGATTGTAGTGCAAAAGAGCTTATTTCGACTGATTAAAGTGACAGTGTGTGTGTGTATTTGGGAGGGGGGAGTGGGAGAGTCCATCAGAGGGTCAAAGTTCAGAGGTGCGTGGTGCAAAAGAGGGGAGGGGGGGCAAGGTAGGGAGGGAGTTCAGCTTCCTGACAGCCTGATGGATGAAGCTGTCCTTCAGTCTGCTGGTCCTGGCCTGGAGACTCCGCAGTCTCCTCCCTGATGGCAGCAGACTGAAGAAGCTGTGTGTCGGGTGGGTGGGATCACCTGCAATGCAGAGGGCTTTGCGGGTGAGATGGGTGTTGTAGATGTCCTAAAGGGGGGCCTTGTAAGCTCCTCTCTGTGTGGTGTAAATAAAGTCCAGAGTGTGTCTGTGAGAGTGTGTGAGTGTGTCTGTGAGAGTGTGTGTGTGTCTGTGAGTGTGTGTGTGTGTGTGTGAGATAACGAAGCACTTTGACGAGACTTAGCTCAAGCATTTTAGAATGACAAAACTAGCATTTGATCGGTCCAGTTTTATTCTGTCCCATCGCAGAGTCGCGTGTCTTTTTTGATGCGCATTAAGGAATTTATTCTGTAAAAGTGTTTCCATCGTAGTTTATGCGCATGTTTTTTAACGGATGAGAAATGTATCCTACTTAGTTAAGCGCATACGTTTGTTTCTGCACATTTTTAGAATTTATGAGCATCTTGGCGTTTCCATCCAGCCTTTTTTCATGCAATATCCCAAAAAGTGCATAAGTAGGCTGATGGGAACATAGCTAACTCTGCGTCTCTGGCTCTCACAGGTGTGTCTGTGTGGATCATGGGCCGCATCTTCTTGGATCACATCGGCGGCACGCGCTTGTTCTCCTGCGCTAACTGCGACACCATCCTGACCAACCGCTCCGAGCTGATCTCCACGCGCTTCACCGGCGCCACCGGACGAGCCTTCCTCTTCAACAAGGTAGATATCGTCTGCACTAATATCGTAATTGTTGTTTTAACGATGTGCGATTTGACATTATCCAGTATTTTGCAAAAACCAAACAAAACACCTACAGAGTCTAGACTAGTGCGCGTTTAGAGAGCGTTCTTTCACTGCATGATTCAGTCTATTACAATACATTTAGAATGATCTAAGACATGGGGGCAGAAAATTTATATATTTATATATACTAACCCTAACCCAGCATGATTACAAATGTGATATTGATTTTATATAATAGTTCAATAAACAAGAATTAATATTAAGAGGCTTAAGTTTTAGACGCAATATTCCCTGTTTTTGTGTTATTTCTCCAACAGAAATAATCCCAAACACATCCACAGCAATGTTTTGTGTCTCTGAGCAACACGACGGTGATTCGTTCCTGAATTAATCGATCGTTTAAATGATTCGGTTCAATCGCAGTGACTCACTTATTATCAGTGACTTGCTGCCACCTGCTGGCGGATTTAATTTCACATTTAAAGTGGTTCATTTAAGGCCGGGCATGCACTGTGTTTTCAGTCTCAGTTTATGTGCTCGCACTGTGCGTGTGAAATACAGCTGCGCAGACGATGACAAGTGTGTATGGATCATAGCCAGAGATATCTTGAACAAAAAAGCATCAGGTGATTTGTCATTTCCAATTAATGTATTACCATTATTATCATTATTATGGTACTTTTATTCATTTGCACCACAATAATTTCATATCTCATAACTGACGCGCGGATAATAAATGATTAAATTAGCTTACTCCTCATTGAAAATGATTTAAAACATTTAGAAATATTACACAATGAATAGGCCTATAATTAAAATTGTCTAAAATAGCCTATGTGTCCGAACACTGTAATAATCAGTCATCAATGAAAATAAGACCTTTATTAGCCTACAAAGAAATTTCAAAAACAACTTGTTTAACACGAAATACTGTTGTTGTTGTTTTTTCACTACGTATATCAGCCATAAGAGATGGTTTAAAACTGAAATATTTATAATTTTGCGACGTGTTTGTCTTTATCACTAATTAAAAATAACTATTTTATCAAAAGTTCTCCCTCTTTTCGATTTCTTTCTTGCTGTATTAAAGATTAAATAGTTAAAGTTCTATTTTCGCGCAGGCGCAGTGAGAGGCGCAGAATCGGACAGAAATCACACATTTATGCCCGGCTTAAGGCAGATTGCTCGTTGTATCCTTTCATATTAAATTAAATAATAAAGCAGTATTTCTGCATGTGTGACCGCAGGTTAAACACATTCATGTCCTGCATTAATCAGTGTGTAAACACATCTAAATATCACTTCAGACGCAGCTTCTGTGTTTCCTCTGCGCTGCAAAGATGCATTTCATTGATGCTGATTTCATTTGCTTGCTAACAGCCCAAATCTCTTATTATTCTGATTCACTGATTACATCTGAGAAATTGACACAAAAGATGAGACACTTTTAGAAAAAATGGCTTTATAAAGGTAAAAAGTGTTTCTAGTGATCCTGAAGAGCTTGATTATCTGGATCAGGTGTGTTTGATTAGGGATGGAGCTAAACTGTGCAGAGCTGTGGCCCTCCAGGGATTGAGTTTGAGACCACTGGTCTAAACTTATTGGAAAAGATTAATTCCTCTCAGTGTGAACTGACCAGCACACAGAATATGAAGAATATAAACACTTTAGGAGTCAGCTGTCCACCGCAGTCCGTAAGATATCAGCACAATAACACACTCTCTCAGAAAAAATCCCAGAAAATATGGAGATATGATTTTTTGTCAGTATCACACACCCCTCGAGCGACTGGCCGTGGCTAGTGCGCGGCGCTGATGCTAACGCTAACGTCCTGTGATGTGTTTCAGGTGGTGAACCTGCAGTACAGTGAGGTGCAGGACCGCGTGATGCTGACCGGCAGACACATGGTGCGAGACGTCAGCTGCAAGAACTGCAACAGCAAGCTGGGCTGGATCTACGAGTTCGCCACCGAGGACAGCCAGCGCTACAAGGAGGGCCGCGTGATCCTGGAGAGAGCGCTGGTGCGCGAGAGCGAGGGCTTCGAGGAGCACGTCCCGTCAGACGCGACCTGAGAACCAGCGCTCGCTGTGACTCTCAGGTGTTTGTTAGGCCAAACCCTGATTTCAGCTCTGTAGATTCACCCGAAAACATGCACCGCAGGTCGAGAGCTTCAGATGCACAAACAAACAAACGCGGCACGTAATGACCACACCATCTGCTCACCAAGGGATGCCAGTTCAGATTATTTGACAGAAATGCATATGATCATGGCTTCTTTTGCTGTTTCACACATTTTTCCTCCGTAATTATGGAGTTCTGTTTGTGCCAAAAGTGTAGACTGCTTTGTCTATGTCTGCTGTTATTGCTGTTGTTTTCTGTTCATGCTTTAGAAGTTTGTGCTCTCAGTGAACGTTCTGTACGGATGTCCATATAAACAAACAGAATTTGCTCAATAATGAGTTTCTCACCATTTTTCTAAAACTCTGAATATTATGACAATATATGTGATGGCTATAGATTGATTAATGCAAAAAAAAAAAAACAATGCATCTGGAAGTTTGAGAACTCTTTTTGGGAAAATCTAATTCTGTTTGTTTATCTGGATGTTTGTAAAATATTACAGAATGTAAAGCATAGCACTGAACTGAAGAAATGACATAAAACAACAGCACTAACAGCAAACAGACATATATCATGTACGATCCACTTTTGGCACAAATCTAACTCCATACATAAGATCTCTTGTGTTGTTGGAATAACATCTCCACCTTCACCGGGAAACCAAGGGTTAATGAATGCACCGGATGAAATGATGTAGATTTCTCCACAAATTCTCTGTTTGTTTCCTTAAAAGTCGAGGACAATTGTAAAGCCCTCTTTATCATCCTTTAATACCTCGTCCGTTTCTGCATCTGTGGTTTCTCTACACTCATGTGACCAGACAGGTTCAGGATTTCAGGCTGAAGAGATCTGAAGGTCTTTCTGGTTGAGCTGCATTCACTCAATCTGTGCTCCGTAGTCAAACAGCAGCCTGTATTAGATCACAGCCGCTTCAGAAACGACCTTCCTTTGCTCTGTTGGAGAGGAGTGTGTTATTATTCACTGATTCTCGTGTTCATTTGTGATTTCTTCGAGACTTTGTGGATTCGTCGGGTCTCTAAATCTCCTCCGTTCTGCAAGTTCCTCGCATGCTTCTGTTCGGTGTTTGCTTCTGAAGAACCAGCAAGAGCGTTTCTGCTTCTCTCTATCTGTCCTTTGATTAAAGCCGCTTCTGTTCATTATTGTATTCCAGAGCTCAGTTGTGTGTTTAGCATGAGGTTCATTGTGTTATATTTGATGTCCGACTTGAAGAATAAATCATTTGCTAAAGTGGAATTGCTCTTCCTTCCCAGTATTTCAAGAAATCAGTAACACTTTACCATAAGATTCCATTTATTAACTAACATCGAAAAACACTTCAAAAATATTAATTCATTTTAATGTTTATTTCTGTGCATTTACTAATACCTGATTAAAGTCAAAAGCTGTATTTATTATTATTATAGGTGTCCCTGCAGCACAGAAGCAGTGTTAAGTCGCTGGGGTATATTTGTAGCAATAGCCAACAATACATTGTATGGGTCACAATTATACATTTCTCTTTTATGCCAAAAATCATTAGGATATTAAGTAAAGATCATGTTCCATGAAGATATTTTGTAAACCTCCTACCGTAAATATATCTAAACTGAATGTTTGATTAGTAATATGCATTGCTAAGAACTTCATTTGGACAACTTTAGAATCAGAATCAGAAAGAGCTTTATTGCCAAGTATGTTTGCACATACAAGGAATGTGTTATAGTGTCACAAGCTTCCAGTACACGGAGACAACAACAACACACAGATAATAAAAGTGAGATGTGAATAAAATACACATGCATAAATATAAACCACAAAAAAAATAAAAATAAAATTGTATGTACAGGTGTGCTATAGATGGAATAGAATAAAATAAGTTGTAGGGATGTACTAGGGTTTAGGGTGATAAATAAGTATAAGGTTATTGCACATACTGTACTTTAATTGCACAATGGGAGAACATTAACTGTTCATGAGGTAGATTGCCTGGGGAAAGAAACTGTTCTTGTGCCTGGCTGTCCTGGTATTCGGTGCTCTGTAACGCCGACCAGATGGCAAAAGTTCAAAAAGGAGATGGCTTGGATGTGATGGATCCAGAGTGATTTTCTGAGCCCTTTTCCTCACTCTGGATGTATACAGTTCTTGGAGGGTAGGCAGGGGGGCACCAATAATCCTTTCAGCAGTCCGAACCGTTCTCTGTAGTCTTCTGATGTCTGATTTTGTAGCTGAACCAAACCAGACAGTTATTGAAGTGCACAGAACAGACTCGATGACGGCTGAGTAGAACTGTTTCAGCAGCTCCTGTGGCAGGTTGAATTTCCTCAGCTGGCGAAGGAAGTACAACCTCTGCTGGGCCTTTTTAACAATGGAGTCAATGTGAGTGTCCCACTTCAGGTCCTGAGAGATGGTGGTGCCCAGGAACCTGAATGACTCCACTGTCGTTACAGTGCTATCCATGATGGTGAGTGGGGGGAGTGCAGGGGGGTTCCTCCTGAAGTCCACGATCATCTCCACTGTTTTGAGGGTGTTCAGCTCCAAGTTGTTAAGACTGCACCAGACAGCCAGCTCTTTAACCTCCTGTCTGTAAGCAGACTCGTCTCCATCCTTGATGAGACCGATGACTGTAGTGTCATCTGCATACTTCAGGAGCTTGACAGAGGGGTCTTTAGAGGTGCAGTCATTGGTGTAGAGGGAGAAGAGCAGTGGGGAGAGGACGCAACCCTGAGGGGTGCCAGTGCTGGTGGTGCGGTTGTTGGATGTGAAAGAGCAGCAGAGTTAGAAAAATCCTTATTTGTCCGGGAGAGCAGAAGGAGTTCATCCGTTTTGTTGGGTAGAGAGCGGAGGTTTGCCAGATGGATGCTCGGCAACGGCGTTCTGAAGCCATCGTAAGGATGATTTTCGTAAAAGATTTTTTTGCACCCTCAGATTCCAGATTTTCAAATATAGTCCTATCCTAACAAACCATACATCAATGGAAAGCTTATTTATTCAGCTCTCAGATGATGCATAAATCTGACCCTTGCGACTGGTTTTGTGCTCCAGGGTCACATTTAATATAGCTGAGCTGACATGAGCTAGCAATGAAGAATTGTATTTTTATTAACTAACAAATATTTGTAAATACTGTAACACATGCATCACTCATTGTTAATGTTAGTGAATGCACTGGGATCTTGTTAAGACTGAAGCTCAGTGCTGGTGTTTTGTGCTCCAGCAGATGGGAGTAAAGCTCAGTGTTTGCTCTAACTACAGGTGACCGACGGGTTTCATCTTACATTCAGTGTCACTCCAGCCCTGCACACATACTGTACTCCTGCTGCTCCGCACACAGACATGCAGCGAGACACAGAATACTGCAGACGGCTTTAAAACCAGCCAGACACTAGACAAAACCATTGCTTTTACATGCACTGCTCTGTCGTGCTCCATCTCATGTCTCTTCTTTCAGAAAACACCGCAAATACACCGTTAAGTGTTTGTTTTATTGCACTTTATCTATTTGCGTCATGCCATATCTTTAAAGCGTTTTACATTCAGCAAACTTTAGTTTTATTCCTCTGAAGGTTTGTTCAGATTTCATTCACACTGATACAACATTTCACTCCTAAAGACGTGGTGAAAACGTGTTTGTTTTCAGTCTGTTGACAGTATTTTCTGACAGAGAGAGAGATCCAAAAGCTCCTCTGGAAAAACCTTTAACTCTCATATGTCAACAAACTCAAAGAATATTAAACCTGGCTTTAGTTCATGTTCAGATTTATTTTCTGGGAAGGTATGCAAATGAGTGCGTGTTTAATTAGAAAATGCCTCATTTGCATGTTGAAATACAACTTTCCAGAAATCCTGTAATACAAGTTATTTATTGAACTCAAGTGTCCTTAACAACAATGTACTTACATTTAAATTAATAATTTGAAATGCACTTATTGTGTACATAGGCTACATGTTTTTACATTGTATTTCTATATGAAAATACCATGCTGTAATTACACCTTTTTCTGGGCTTGCATCTATATTTACACTGTTGAGCTAACCTCGATCCTGTAAAGCAGCACCTAACCTAACCCAGATCCCACCTCAACTCAACAACACAACAGCTGCATTTTACTGAACAATTCATATTAGGGCTGCACGATTTTGAGAAAAATCATAATTGTCGATTTTCCCTTGAAATTGTAATTGCGATTATTAATTACGATTATCACAATTTACACTGAGTGATGTTTATACCATTGTTTGATGCAACTGCATGTATTTTTATATAAAAAAAATAAACAAGCTGAAAACACTCTAACTGAAAAACCTTTAATGCTTTTCTATAATATTGAGCCTCAAATGTCAAATATACATCGGATTGGTTTCTTCTTTAAATTATAAAAAAGTTAAAATATGAATGGTATTATAATGTTATACTAAAACTAAAATAATGGAAAACCCCTAATAGCCTATTTAAACACACCTAATAGAATACGCTTGCACAGATTTCATTTGTTTGAGGACAGGAGAAAAAAAATCTTGCCAAGTAGAAGATTAGTAAGTTCATTAGATAAGAAAGGTTTATGAATCCAGACGAAAGTCTAGCTCGTGTGTGCCAAAGGCTGTTTAATGTGTGACTGCGTTTACAGTACGCATGATGCTGGGTGGATAAACAACCCCGCTGACCTGCATGGAACTAACTAACCCTTAGAGCGCAGTCTGTCAGCAGAAAAAGCCAGCTGGATGAGTGTCCAAAGGTGACAATGAGAAGAATCCGGCGACGCGCGCTGTTTCGGGTGTGAAGAATCCTCGCAGGAGTCACTGGAGACCTGAAGCGAGTCATCAGCGCGTGCAGAAGTGCCAACTCATGATCGGCGACGCGAGGCCGACAGGTGATGAGACTGAGAGCTCCGCGCATCTCCATCCGAGCTGAGCGCACGCGATCATGGGGCGCTACAGCGGCAAGACGTGCCGCCTGATCCTGATGCTGGTCATCACCGTCATCTTCTTCGTGGCGGAGATCGTGGCGGGGTACATGGGCAACTCCATCGCGCTGGTGTCGGACTCCTTCAACATGCTGTCGGACATTCTCTCGCTGTGCGTCGGGCTGACGGCGGCGCGGGTGTCGCGTCGCGCGGGCTCGGGGCGCTTCACGTACGGCATGGGCCGCGCGGAGGTGGTGGGCGCGCTGGCTAACGCCGCGTTCCTCGCCGCGCTCTGCTTCTCCGTGTCCATGGAGTCGCTGAAGAGGCTCGCCGTGCCGCAGGCCATCGATGACCCGCCGCTGGTGCTGATCGTGGGCTCGCTGGGGCTCGCGGTGAACGTGCTCGGGCTGCTGATCTTCCAGGACTGCAGCTGCCTGCGCGCGACGCGACGGAACGACGCTCCTGTGCCGCGCGACGCGGAGGAGGAAGAAACAGGTGCTGACCCTAACGCGTCGTGTTTGCTCTTTTGAGAGATGCATCTGTCTGCTGTGTGCAACATCTGATAAACGCCTTTACTAAGTTAGTTTAACGTTTATTCTAAATCAGAAGCACTGAAGACATTCTCTAAATCTGACAGCGGGGTCTCTGCGGGTCTCAGCTTTTCACTGAGCAAGCTCTTTAAAGGTCTTAAATCACAGCATAAAGTCATGGAATCATGGCATTCAATTCGCTGCATCTTCCTCAGTGTTTCTGTCTTGTCTAAACATGCCTAAATCAAGATGCATTTACTGGAGATGCTAAATGAAATGATTAATTCTGACAAATTGATCAAAATGAAGAGAGTTTATGATTAAAGCAGGAACAGATATCTGTCGTATGAGGAATGAAAACTAGTTTTCCCTTTGAATTAAGATGATTTTTGGCAGATATTTTACTTGTTTACAGATACTTTAGATACTTGTTTTAATCATAAACTCTTAAAATTGTGAATATGAAGTAAATGTATCTTGATGTAAGAATCTTCAGGCGTTTGCACCAGAAAACAAGACAGAAGTGCTGATGAAGAACTGCGTGATCAGAAGTTACAGTAAAAGTTATTTCAGTATATTTTTTGTCAAATGAATTAAAGTAATGGAGATGTGTTGGACGTTGTTTAAGACTGGGTCAGATTTTCTTTACTTGGTCTTAAATGGACCTTCTTCAAACCTGCAGAAACCATGTGAAGGGAAACGTCTCGTAACAGCAAATGCTCTAAACAATATGTCTTCCAGATGAAAACACATGCATTAGACGTCTCTGCGATGCACATGTTGCATCTGGGACGGATCTGCATGCATTATTAAAGTGCAGTGTTGTGTGGCCTTGTACTTTGGTCGTATAATCTGAATAATCTGCTGCTGGAGAACAGCGTGACGGATGTGTGAGCCTCAGGCAGAGCTGGCGCTTTGTGTTTGTCCTGGATCTTCAGAAGTGCACTCCACACTTGTGCTTTCTCCGTCCACAGGCCTGCAGGAGAAGAAGGCTGGGAGCGAAGGGCCTCCTCTGAACATCCGGGGTGAGTGAGTGAGTGAGCCGCTGTGCTTTAGTGTTCATCAGCAGTGTTTCCAGCACACTGTCTCTCTCTCTCTCTCTCTCTCTCTCTAACATTACAGCGTAATATTTTCTCACTGACTGCTCTCAACATTGGAATGCACATGAATACAAACAAGTAATAATAGCAAAAAAGGGAATAGAATATATAGCAAAAACTATAAATAGTAGCAGCAGTAAATCCTTTTTGATATACAATTATTTGTGAATTAAAGTATGCTGAAGTGTTGCTAGTATGTGCTGCATGTGCATTTGTGTGTGTGTGTGTGTGTGAGATGCAACGTGTGTGTGTGTGAGTGTGATCTCTCTCTCTCTCTCTCTCTCTCTCTCTCTCTGTGTGTGTGTGTGTGTGTGTGTGTGTGTGTGTGGTCTTTTTTGTGTGTGTGCTCTCTCTCTCTCTCTCTCTCTCTCTCTCTGTGTGTGTGTGTGTGTGTGTGTGTGTGTGAATGGCATGTCTCTCTCTCTGCAGGTGTGCTGCTGCATGTGTTGAATGACGCGCTGGGCTCAGTGGTGGTGGTGGTGGCCTCGGCTCTGTTCTACGTGTGGCCTCTGGCCCCTGAGAGCCCGTGTAACTGGCAGTGTTACGTGGACCCCAGTCTGACGCTGGTCATGGTGGTCATCATCATGCTGTCAGCTGCTCCTCTGGTCAAAGAAACGGCTGGGATCCTGCTGCAGATGAGTCCCCCTGATCTGCCGCTCACCGCAGTCTGTGAGTTCACATTCATGTCTCTGTGCACTATAGAAATCCATCCCAGTTCACGTATTTATGCACTATTCTGTGAGGTTTTTTAGTATACAGGTGCAAATAAATGAACTTTTCCACGACATTCTAATTTATTGAGATGCACCTGTAGATTGTGCAATCAGTATGTTCACACTGGACTCTTCTAATGTCAGGATGATGCACTTGATTAGCCGACAAAACCAAGTGTGGAATATTGGACACTTCATGCGTTCAACCGTCGCAGCTTTAATTACTCGAGGACTGCTGCTTTAGTACACAGAATAGTGCATAGTGTAGTGTGTCAGTCTGCCAACACAGTCTGGTTCACCACATTAACATGAAGGATTTTTTTTTTTTCAGTTTCTTTTGCACAGGCCGTTCACAACCAGAATGAATACTCTAATGATATTATTAGCATGCAGACTGATGTTTATTGTTAATTTTCTAAGTACACTGCAGTTTTGTCATCTGTTGCTTTAAAGGCACAACAGACTCGTGTGATTGGTTACGACGAGCAACACTGTAAGACACGTGAAAAGAATCATGGCGCAACATTGAGCAGATCTCAGTCTAATACTGCAGTCAACTCTTTTCATTTCATTTTCTTCGCGACAGCCGTCCTGAATTTAGTTTAACTGTACAGCAGCACTTTTTTTAGTTTCTACAAGCAGAAACTGAGGATAGTGCGGATATTACGTCATTGATAGGCGACAATGACCAGGGACAAGCCATTATTTAAAGGGGTAGTTCACCCAAAAATAAAAACTCTGTCATTAATTACTCACCCTCGTGTCGTTCCAAACCCGCAAGACCTTCGTTCATCTTCAGAACACAAATTAAGATATTTCTGATGGAATCCGAGAGCTCTCTGACCCTGCATAGACAGCAAGGATCCTTACACGATCAAGGCTCAGAAACGTAGCAAAGAGATCGTTAAAATAATCCATGTGTTCAACCGTAATTTTACGAAGCTACTAGAATACTTTTTGTGCACAAAGAAAACTAAAATAACGACTTATATTCAACAATTCGTCACCTTATAGTGCCATTTTGGAGAGTAAACAGTACCTTACACGGTTACGTGAACCACAGACACCGTCAGAGGCGTCTTACCTGGGCTAAGGAGAAGGAGAACTTGACTGTTGCCCAGTGGTCCAAAGTCCTCTTTTCAGATGAGAGCAAGTTTTGTATTTCATTTGGAAACCAATTTCGTAGAGTCTGGAGGAAGGGTGGAGAAGCTCATAGCCCAATTTGCTTGAAGTCCAGTGTTAAGTTTCCACCGTCTGTGATGATTTGGGGTGCAATGTCATCTGCTGGTGTTGGTCCATTGTGTTTTTTGAAAACCAACGTCACTGCACCCGTTTACCAAGAAATTTTGGAGCACTTCATGCTTCCTTCTGCTGACCAGCTTTTTGAAGATGCTGATTTCATTTTCCAGCAGGATTTGGCACCTGCCCACACTGCCAAAAGCACCAACAGTTGGTTAAATGACCATGGTGTTTGACTGGCCGACTGGCCAGCAAACTCACCAGACCTGAACCCCAGAGAGAATCTATGAGGTATTGTCAAGAGGAAAATGAAGACCAAAAAACCAAAAAATGCAAATGAGCTGAAGGCCACTGTCAAAGAAACCTGGGCTTCCATAACATCTCAGCAGTGCCACAAACTGATCACCTCCATGCCACGCCAAATTGAGGCAGTAATTAAAGCAAAAGGAGCCCCTACCAAGTATTGAGTACATGTACAGTACATGAACATACTTTCCAGAAGGCCAACAATTCACTAAAAATGTGTTTTTTATTGGTCTTATGAAGTATTCTAATGTGTTGAGATAGTGAATTGGTGGGTTTTTGTTAAATGTGAGACAAAATCATCACAATTAAAAGAACCAAAGACTTAAACTACTTCAGTCTGTGTGCACTGAATTTATTTAATACACGAGTTTCACAATTTGAGTTGAATTACTAAAATAAATGAACTTTTCCACGACATTCTAATTTATTGAGATGCACCTGTAGATTGTGCAATCAGTATGTTCACACTGGACTCTTCTAATGTCAGGATGATGCACTTGATTAGCCGACAAAACCAAGTGTGGAATATTGGACACTTCATGCGTTCAACCGTCGCAGCTTTAATTACTCGAGGACTGCTGCTTTAGTACACAGAATAGTGCATAGTGTAGTGTGTCAGTCTGCCAACACAGTCTGGTTCACCACATTAACATGAAGGATTTTTTTTTTTCAGTTTCTTTTGCACAGGCCGTTCACAACCAGAATGAATACTCTAATGATATTATTAGCATGCAGACTGATGTTTATTGTTAATGTTCCAAGTACACTGCAGTTTTGTCATCTGTTGCTTTAAAGGCACAACAGACTCGTGTGATTGGTTACGACGAGCAACACTGTAAGACACGTGAAAAGAATCATGGCGCAACATTGAGCAGATCTCAGTCTAATACTGCAGTCAACTCTTTTCATTTCATTTTCTTCGCGACAGCCGTACTGAATTTAGTTTAACTGTACAGCAGCACTTTTTTTAGTTTCTACAAGCAGAAACTGAGGATAGTGCGGATATTACGTCATTGATAGGCGACAATGACCAGGGACAAGCCATTATTTAAAGGGGTAGTTCACCCAAAAATAAAAACTCTGTCATTAATTACTCACCCTCGTGTCGTTCCAAACCCGCAAGACCTTCGTTCATCTTCAGAACACAAATTAAGATATTTCTGATGGAATCCGAGAGCTCTCTGACCCTGCATAGACAGCAAGGATCCTTACACGATCAAGGCTCAGAAACGTAGCAAAGAGATCGTTAAAATAATCCATGTGTTCAACCGTAATTTTACGAAGCTACTAGAATACTTTTTGTGCACAAAGAAAACTAAAATAACGACTTATATTCAACAATTCGTCACCTTATAGTGCCATTTTGGAGAGTAAACAGTACCTTACACGGTTACGCCGTTTACACTATTTACACTTTGATCTGAACGTAAACACGGTATCCGCGTACATATGTTGCATACGTTGTTTACATATTGTGCCTTTAAATGCTCATGCTCTTTAAAGCAGGATGGATTCTGATTGGCTGTCGATGTTTTTATTGTTCAGCAGCTGGAAATAAATCATTCTGAAAGAGATTCCAGTGAAATCATTCATCTGTGTTGCTATTGTTGTAGTTGTGTGGACTCTGCTATTCTTTTCCATTTAAAACAGTTTTCAGAACTTTAGCATTATAGGTATGTGTTTTAAATGGGCCTTTTAACTTAAAAAATGGTGTAGAAACAATTTGTTAGTTTCACAAATAATTACAAAAAATGACAGATAACACAATTAAACAAACTGAAATATTTAGACAGACAGAAATAGTAATTTGTTTGTAAAACTGCTTGCAAAATTCTGTAGAACTATTTGTCTTGTAAAATGTACAATTTACAACTACAGAAAACTACAGTGTATTTTACAGTGTGGGGTTGAAGGACATCTCTGTAAACATACTGGCCACTTTCTGCCAGGACATTTGTTGAATGACAAAGAAACAGCAAGTAACACATTGAATTAAATGTGAATTTTAAACTGTATTTTCTTGTAGTTTAACTTGTAATGTACAACATCAGAAGATACATTTTTACACTGAGGGCCAAAGGGAATCTCTGGTAAACTGTAAGGTTTTTATTGTTGGTGTCTCACAGTGCTGATGCTGTGTGTCTCTGCTTGTTTGTGTGTCTCTGTCTCAGTGGAGAGCGTGTGCAGACTCCCCGGCGTGGCCAGCGTTCACGAGGCTCACGTCTGGGAGTTATCTAAAGGACAGAACGTGGCCTCGCTGCACGTCAAAGTGTCTGCTGACCTGCAGGACCCGGCTCTTCAGACGCAGATCCAGCAGCTGTTCCACCGCGCAGGCGTCCACAGCGTCACGGTTCAGCTGGAGCGCGCCGACGGAGAGATGCCCTGCTGTCCTCCTGCCTCCAGAGACGTGAGCGAGAAACAGAAGCAGATATCAGCCAAACACAAGAACACCAAGTTCTGAAGCCGTTTCTCGACCCGGCCGGTTCCCATGATAATGCACAGAACAAACAGAACTCGTGTTTAATTCCTCCTCACGAATTGTGCCTCACTGCCCTTTCAGACTCCAGCTAATGATTCCTAGTAATTGTGCTTCGTTAGTTTGAGACGTGAGTCTGGTGGAAGAGGAGTCTGGTCAACACGGTGCCTGATGGAATCCGGATCATCAGTCTAATTAATCAGCATCTTATTTATTGCTCTGAATGAGAGACACGTCCAGCTCATATTTCAGCCCAAAACAACAGGATAAAAACACATAATCAAGCCAAAGTCTCGTGAGTGAGTAAAGAATGCAAACATGATAGTATTTGCCGTAGTGCCTCTAATGCTTATGCTGATATATGTAATAAATATCTGTATTACAGTAATATGCAATTATTGTTTCAAAAATATTTTTTAGTTTCTTTTGATTTTGGGGTGAAATTCGACCTGGACATGGTTTCATGAGATTCGTTCCAATAGCATATTTACATTCCGTATTGTTATTTATGACCTTTTGCTCTTAATAATCTTTATAACTTCTTGGTAATTCAGGGAAACTGTTGTTGTTGTTGTGGTGTGAGAGTGTGTGTCTTTGTGTGAGTGTTGTATTTGAAAGACAATCAAATGTACTTTAAAACTGTATACACTAATATTAAACATTTTGGTTGAAATCAAATTTAGCCTTTCTAAGCAAACAGATTTGAATGGATGTGAACAGTGAACTGCTCTGTTTATTAAGATGAAATTCACCTGTTGATCGGCTGTTGTGTGGAGAAACATCTTTCATGACTGCAGCAGCTTCAAACTCACATCAACTCTAATCACAGGTGTTCATAATCACCAGCTGATGAAGCACTAGAGGGCAGCAGAGAACACACACACTCACACTCAAACACACACATTCACACTAACACACACACTTATCACACACACTCACACTCTTAACACACTCACACTCACTCTTAACACACACACACTCAAACACACTCACAACACTCACACTCTTAACACACACTAACACACACACTCAAACACATTCACACTAACACACACACTCACTCTTAACACACACACTCACACTCTTAACACACTCAAACACACACACTCACTCTTAACACACACATACTCAAACACACACACTCAAACACACTCACACTCTTAACACACACTCAAACATTCACACTCACTCATCATACACACTCACACTCTTAACACACTCAAACACACATACTCAAACACACACACTCAAACACACTCACAACACTCACACTCTTAACACACACTCAAACATTCACACTAACACACACACTCACTCATCATACACACTCACACTCTTAACACACTCAAACATTCACACTAACACACACACTCAAACACGCACTCACACACTCCTGAACATGAAACAGACGTTTCTCTGTCAGTTATTTTATAATACTCCAATCTGAAGCTCCACTGATGATCAGTAAAACACATGACAGTGTCAGGACATTAATAATGGAGGAGGCTGAAGCTGTCACTCTTTCCATGCACTGCTGTTCAGAGAAACCATTAAAGCTTCCAGGAAAACAGCAGAGAAACTGATGAACCGGGCTTGTGTCTGGATGAGGTGATAGTGAGGCGGTGAAGAACGACACTGATCTGTGTTTAAGGTGACATGAAACCTGCTGTTTCAGATCCAAAACACACTCAAGAAGTGCATGTGTAAAGCTGTGCTAAAACACAACAACCAATCAAACTCAGACCTACAATACTCATTAAACATTAAATGTGAGTGGAGACATCATCATCACAGATTCAATACAGGCAACTATCATCAACAAATCAAATGAAGACTTGAATAAGAGCTGAGGAAAACCAGTTCATGACAAACCCACGCTCACTTTAATCTGCTCTGACTCAGATAACACAGAAGAGGCCAGCTGCCGGAGCCGTATGTAACGAGTCTGACGGTGTTTCCAGTGATCTGCACTCTGTGAGAATCCTCATCACATCGCTTTCACAACTCACGGCTTTCTGAGCTGCTTCATGGAGCTTCTGTTAGAAGTGTTTGGAAAGATGCTTGATGAGCTGAACGATCAGCACAACAACAAAGCTGCCTCCGAGACGTCAGTGCTTTATCTTTGTGAGGAGCTCAGATTACAGCTGATTACGGTGCTGTTCTTCAATCAGCTGATCTCAGCAGAAGACTGATGTGTTTGTGTTTCCCGTCACTGACATCATCCTGCATCCCGTTACTAAGCAACCCCGGAGCACCATCTGTCGTCACGGCAACCGCCTCACCCTCAGACCTCTGGTGATTTCCTCCATCAAACCTCAGTCTCATTCATTATTAACCGATAGATTTCATAGTATTTTAGCTTTCTGATATGTTTGGTTTGAATATGCAAATGAGGCGTTATCTAATTAAATGTGTACTATTCTCTACACATTTCCAGAATATAAATCTGATCATTGTATAAAGTCAGGTTCATAATTTTTGTTTGATTTTGTTGACATATCAAAGGTTTTTTCCAGAGGGGGTGGATTTGGATTTCTCTTTTTATCACTCCATAAATCTGAAAAAACTGTACACAGACAGAAAACAAACATGTTTGTAGGAGTAAAATGTTGTATAAATCAGTGTGAATGAAATATGAACAAACCTTCAGAATACAGAGAGGAATAAAACTGTGAAGAGAAAAAACTTTGAAATCTACAGACTCGGATAGATAAAGTGTGATGCTTTAATGTGTGTTTTGGATGCTTTCTTTCCTTTAGTCTGAAAGAAGAGCAGAGCAGAATCTCCAGACGGAGCGCAGTCTGCTGCTAAACATGCTTTACTCACGCGACACACGGCTGAGCTGTTCATCTGAACTGGACACAGCTCACGAAGCAACAGAAGATGGATTTATTGGCGTGTTGATTATGATTATGGTTGGTTACAGTGAATATACCTGAGTGATCGTGACACGAGGAACACGCACACAGTGAGCCGGTCCACACTAACCCAGCACACACAGGTCAGAGGTCAGGGTTCGGTCAGGTCTTATACGGGTAACTCAGTCCTGATTTACACGAGGATTGTCTGGGAACCTGCAGCCATGCATGCGGAGAACACGCAACACGCTCCTGATGCGCATCAATACACTGGGCTTTTCCTTTTTCACCAGCGCTCGAAGCTAATGTGCTATGGCTGCGCTCCGTAACTATAAAACATACACAGTGCTGGACAAAATGATTAGAACACTAGTGTTTCCAGCAGCTGAAACTGGTTTGAAGTCAGTCTATCTTTTGCTGTAGTGTGACTCCAGACAGACTGATGAGGATCAGATCAGAGCTCTGTGTGCAGCACTAACATATTACAGTTAACAGATATTTCCTCCTGACACACTACAGCAAAAGATAGAAATAACTGACTTCAAACCAGTTTCAGCTGCTGGAAACACTAGTGTTCGAATCATTTTGGCCAGCACTGAACACCAAATAAAATATCGTAATTCTTTAAAATATGGCTGTAAGTGGATAACCCGAGCTACTAAAACAGGACGAAACACAAAGCGCTGAAAGAGTTAAGAGACGAGATTGGCGTTCGCAGTGATGAATGCTGTGTTTATGATGTTTATAGTGTGATCTTCTCCTGGCGCGTCTCAGTCCTGCTTCACCTGTGCTCCGCTCCAGCGCCGGTGGCAGGCCAGCTCCATCAGCTCCACTCCACCCGTGACCCGCTGCTGACACAGGAAGAAGATGACCATCAGCAGGAAGTAGAGTCTGAGGGGGGTCCAGAGCCACAGGCCGGCGCAGCAGAGCGTGATGAAGCTGCTCCAGTACAGCAGCGACGCAGCTTTGATCAGCGCCACTCTCAGCTGGCTCTTACAGGGCGGCACGCGGGCCTCGGGCTGGTCGAAGCGGCGCGGCTCGGAGCGGTAGAAGGCACACAGACGCTGCTCTTTCTCTCGCCAGCGCTCCTGACACCAGCGCTGCAGCTGCTCCGCGCTCGAGGGCAGACACGCCGCAGAGAAACGCCGCACGTGGAAGTGGATCTCTCGCGGGAACAGACCCAGGAGCAGGTGCCGCTCCGTCTGAGGGATGTTCTGAGGATACGCCACCGTGATATCATGCACAGCGTCCAGATTATCACCTGTCCACGGAGATAACAAGCATCACTCACAGCTCACACAGCACTCACTGATCTCACATTTACATTCATGCATTTGACACGAGACGCGACGCACTACCAGCCAAACCTTTCTTAACAGGAAGATTTTTTATGCAGCGCGCTTATAATACACAGAATCTTATCATGCACTGGTCTGCACACTAATCTAGCTTTCATTATGGCTAAATGTATCAATATAGTTAATGTAGCTAAATGTATCAATATAGTTACAGTTATCATCATTATATTTTAAGTTATTGTCATTATACACGACCAGTCAAAGGTGTTGAACAGTAAGATATTTAATGTTTTTTAAAGAACTCTCTTCTGTTCACCAAGCCTGCATTTATTTGATACAAAATACAGCAAATAGAGTAAAATTGTGAAATATTTTTACTATTTAAAATATCTGTTTTCTGTGTGAATCTCTGTTAAGCTGTAATGTATTTCTGTGATGCGCAGCTGTATTTTCAGCATCATTCCTCCAGTCTTCAGTGTCACATGATCTTCAGAAATCACTATAATATGCTGATCTGCTGCTCAGAAATATTTATTATTAATATTATTATTATTATCATTGTTTACAACAGCTGAGTAGAATTTTTTCAGGTTTCTTTGATGGATAGAAAGTTCAGAAGGACAGCATTTATCTGAAATAGAAATCTTTTGTAACATTATAAATGTCTTTATCATCACTTTTGATCCATTTAAAGCATCCTTGCTAAATAAAAGTATTAATTTCTATAATTTCTTTCCCCCCCAAAAAATGATACAGACTCCAAGCTTCTGAATGGTGGAGTGTATAATGTTACAAAAGCTTTTTATTTCAGATAAATGCTGATCTTTAAATCTTTCTGTTCATCAAAGAATCCTGAAAAAAAATGTACTTAACTGTTTTAAATATTGATGATGGACTTCATCAGTTCCTGCATTCCCAGGGAATCAAACCCGTGAGCCGGGTGTTGCAAGCGTTACACTCTACTCTATGAGCACACTTTACAGGGTTTAGGTTGAGCTCGTTTGTGAGCTCTGACGAACATCCACGCTGGACTCGCTCTCTAATTCGATCCTCTGAACTAATGATGCAGAACACGCGAGCGCTGATGACCTCTGACCTTTCCGCAGCGTGTCGACGATGAAGGTGAAGCCGGTGGTGCGAGGATGAAGAACATACTCGTACTTGGGAAGCCCGTTTTTCTCGGCGAACTCGTCGCTCCTGGCGCGGGTGTTTTCTGCACAGAGACATCGATGAAAACAGATTTCACACAGACCTTATAATAATGAACAAAACTCCAAATGAACTCAAATGTGCTTTTAACACACTATCTCTGTAATGTATTTAGTCAGCACTTGTAGTACACTTGAACCATCTTTCATACACTAGTACACTCAAGTGTACAATTCATTTTAGTTCATATACTATATATTTAGTTCAGCAATAGCCAACGATACATTGTATGAATCAAAATGATACAGTTCTCTTTTATGCCAGAAATCATTAGGATATTAAGTAAAGATCATGTTCCATTAGGGCTGGGCGACATGAGCAAAAATTCACATCTCGGTATTTTTTGGCTGATTTGGGGTATACGGTATATATCTCAGTATTTTGTTTCTGAATTAAACAAATAAAGTGAATGTAAGCATGTAGGCATATATTATGTGCAAAAGAGGGTTAAAATCACGTTACATTCTAACATTGCAATCTAAAAACAAAAATAATGCTTTTAAGCAGAAGTTACATTTACTAAACTAAAAACAAAAATAATAGAAAAGCAGACTAATTGTTATGAGAGTTAGTGCTCTCATACAAATACACTTGTAGGTTAAAAATTCTACACGTCACATTTATTGTCCAACTACAAATATTTCAGCAAAATGTATATTTTAGGCAGAGTCTGTCTGGCGCTCGTGCTCTGAAGTGAAGTTTAGCGGAGAATCCCAAAGCAAACGCTCATGCACTTCTGACAGCAAAGCTGAAATACGTCCATGGCTTTCTAACATTTACAGACGTATATGTTATGAATATACCTGTGAAATATAAGTGATGCATTCAGGAAACCAGCTCAAACACTTTAAACAGCGGCACACGCCGCCTTTCTGTCAAAGCCGCTTTAAACTCATCTATAAACTATAGGCTTCTATATCTTACAAGCCTTTTAAAGCCCTTCATATAAAGCGTGTCTAGAACAAACTGTATTAAGCACTTTCTCCGCAGCAGCTCAGTCTGTCCTCCCTAGATATTGTTCAGATGTGCTCGTATCAAACTACTGTATATCGATATTAATGGTATTGCTTCATACCGTATCGCTAATAAAAAATATATTGATATATTGTACAAACTCGATATACCGCCCAGCCCTGTTCCATGAGGATATTATGTAAATTTCCTACCATAAATATATCAAAACTTTTGATTAGTAATATGCATACAGACTTTTAAGAAGGGATGGATGTTTGCTTCAGGGATAGGCCAGGTAAGTGAAGTTATATTATCTTGCTGTGTGCGTGTCGTTTTGCATATGCAAAAATGCATACTTTTCAACATACTAAACCACCAGCAGGTGGCGGTAAGTCACTAAATGAGTGAGTCATTGAGTCATTGATTCAACCGATTCGTTCAAACGCTGAATCGTTCAGTAACTAAACACCGCCGAGTGTTTGGAGAATGTGCGATACTTCTGCTGTGATTCTTGTTTGGAACTATACTCGTTGGTGAAACAGAACAAGACAGTAAATATTGTGTCTAAAATGTAAGTAACTTAATAACTACTTGACTAACTACCGTTACTTGTTTATTGAAGTAAAATCAATGTAACATTTGTAATCGTGAGAACATTCAGCAAAATAGCTCCCTTGGTATGTTACTGAACTATATCATGTTATAAATATACTACACATTCTGAATTTGTAGCTCAGTGTGTTTCTTCTGAGTCAACAATTCACTAAAAATTTGTTTTTTATTGGTCTTATGAAGTATTCTAATGTGTTGATATAGTGAATTGGTGGGTTTTGTTAAATGTGAGCCAAAATCATCACAATTAAAAGAACCAAAGACTTAAACTACTTCAGTCTGTGTGCATTGAATTTATTTAATACACGAGTTTCACAATTTGAGTTGAATTACTAAAATAAATGAACTTTTCCACGACATTCTAATTTATTGAGATGCACCTGTATGTGTGCTGAGGACCCGCGGTCACTAGAGGTGTGTGATATATATCGTCTGCGGAAATATCGTAATTGTTATTTTAACGATGTGCAATTTGACATTATCCAGTATTATCGCAAAAACCATTCAAAACACCTAAGGAGCGCACGCTTACATTACGTGAAGTCTAGACTAGTGCGCATTTATAGTGTGTTCTTTCACAGCATGATTCAGTTTATTAAAATGCATTTACATTCATCACAAATTCAAGATATGGGGGCAGAAACTGTATATATTTATACCACTTCATATAGTTAATCAATTTCACACGACGAGTGCTGTTTTTTACAGCAGTTCAATAAACAAGAAGTTAATTAAGAGACGCCATATTTCCTGTTTTTTGCTCTATTTCTCCAACAGAAATAATCCCAAACACAGCCACAGCACTGTTTTGTGTCTCTGAGCAACACGACGGTGATTCGTTCCTGAATGAATCAACCATTTAAATGATTCGTTTGAATGACTCACTTATTAACAGTGACGTGCTGCCACCTGCTGACGGATTTAATTTCACATTTAAAGTATCTTTTTATTATTTAACTAATTTCAAATATCAGTATTCAGTGTTTTATGTTTAATATATCAAAGCAGTATTTCTGCATGTGTGACCGCAGGTTAAACACATTCATGTCCTGCATTAATCAGTGTGTAAACACATCTAAATATCACTTCAGACGCAGCTTCTGTGTTTCCTCTGCGCTGCAAAGATGCATTTCATTGATGCTGATTTCATTTGCTTGCTAACAGCCCAAATCTCTTATTACTCTGATTCACTGATTACATCTGAGAAATTGACTCTTTTAATAGACACTTTTAGAAAAAAAAATCCCCATAAAACGTAAAAATTCATTTAAACGTATTGGAAATTATTAATTTCTCTCAGTGTGAACTGACCAGCACACAGAATATGAAGAATATAAACACTTTAGGAGTCAGCGCAGTTCTTAAGATACCAGCACAATAACACACTCAGCACAATATCATCTGATTATCGTGATCGATAAAATCCCAGAAAAGATCGAGATATAATTCTTTGTCAGTATGGCAGACCTCTAGCTGCCCCGGTGTCTTCACTAGTGCTCTGCAGGTGCGTGGCAGGCCTGATGCGCTTGCTCAGTGTCTCTCACCGGTGAGGTCGGTGCCCTCGGGGAACAGCAGCAGCTGCAGCGGCTCCTTGATGTGGCAGAAGTACTGCAGCATGTTGGCCATGTGAGCGCGGTCTTCCTCCCAGCGCCGCCGGATGAAGATGAAGCAGGCCACCTGCATGGCCCAGCCTGCGCACACACACAGGGACGCCGTCACGCTCGCCCCGGGGCTGCTTCATTGGTAATGACTGTGTGGACTCACCGAAGCCGGGCACAGCCTTGAGCGCCGCTTTGAGGCAGACCTTCTCCAGACGCAGGTAGCTGTAGCGCAGCAGACAGCACCACAGGAACATCCAGTCCAGACGCGTGCGGTGGTTCATGATGATGACGGTGCGCTCGCCGGGAACGAAGCCATCGCCCGTGATCACCACCTTCACCCCGAACACCAGCTCCAGCAGCGCCTGCGCACACACACACACACACACACACTAGCAACGCACAAATAACACATGCATTATCAACAACACAACACTTAAAGGGTTAGTTCACCCAAAAATTTAAATTCTGATATCCTTGCTTCTGTGTCTGGGAACATTGCAGTTGCGTTGCTGTCTATGCAGAATCAGAGAGCTCTCGGATTCCATCAGAAATATCTTAATTTGTGTTCCGAAGATGAACGAAGCTCTTACGGTTTTCATTTTTGGGTGAACTATTTTTTTGGAGCCTTTCTGTCAATTCTTTGATTCTTTGATGAATAAAAAGTAAAAAAAAACAGCATTTATTCAAAATAGAAATATTTTCTAATAACATGATTCTATACTATCACTTTTTTATCCATTTAACACATCCTTGCTAAATAAAAGTATTAATTTCATTTAAAATAAAAGAAAGAAAAAATGTACTGACCCCAAACTTTTGAACACGACTGTACATTGTAACACAACATTTCTATTTTGAATAAACACTGTTCTTTTTAACTTTTTATTCATCAAAGAATCCTGAAAAAAGTATCACAGGCCTAAAAAAATATGAAGCAGCAACAGTTTCCAGCTCTGATAATAACCAGCATATTATACTGATTTCTGAAGATCATGTGACACTGAAGACTGGAGTAATGATGCTGAAAATACAGCTGCGCATCACAGAAATACATTACAGTTTAACAGAGATTCACAGAGAACACTGGAATTTTAAATTGCAATAATATTTCACAAAATTACAGTTTTGTTCCGTATTTTTGATCAAATAAATGCAGCCTTGATGAGCAGAAGACACTTCTTTAAAAACATTAAAAATATTACTGATTCCAAACTTTTGAACGGCAGAGTATTTATAAACAAACAAAAACAAATGATTTTTAAGTTTAACTTTGATTAAATAAAACTAAACCTGGCCTCACTTCATTAAAAATATATTCATAAGAATCAACAAAAACATTGTTTCATCAAAATATGCTTCAGATCAGAGTTACTTTAGAAACACTAGTTTTTATTAATATTTTGAATTAGTTTTTATTTTATATAATTATATTAGGTTTTAGTCATTTTGTTGCATGTTTGTCATTTGCATGTCTTTTTAAAAGTGCGTCTATTATTATGTTTATTCTTTTTTAATTATACTAAATAAAAATGTGAAATATTACCTTGGCAACTAGCAGAATTAATTAATTTATTTTTATTTATTTCAATTAAGGTTTTATTTTATTTCAACTTCTAAGTAACTAGTTATTAATGTTTTTGGTTTGAGTTTCAGTGTTTGTGACTCCCGGCTCCGGACGGCTAATAGTGACGCTCAAGCCGTGTCCCATGATGCCGAGCGGCGTACCACTGGTAGGGTGAACCAGGTGGCCACGATGCGGTCGGTGACCCAGCGGTACCAGGCGGGCGAGAGCAGCATGAGCGGCAGAACCGGACCCAGCATGAAGACGCTGCCGAAGAAACTGCCCAGAAACAGAGTGAGGAGGAAACACAGGCCCCTGAGGGACACCATCGTCCCGTCCTGAAACACACAGCACAGAAACATTTCAGCTGTGCTTTCACAAGCTCTCTGTGACGAATGACTGGACAGGTGAAGGTATTATCATCTCCTCACTATCTGTGTGACCAGCCTTTGTGCTGACCGCTATAACTCCCCGCTGACGACCCGTCACGCACGTCGCTAAATACTGACCTCAGGGTCTCCACACGATCTGCTGGATGTACAGCGGTAACTGAGGATAAGGATTACAGTAATTGGATGGAGGTAATTAATGACTGATTCCTGAAATGGAAAAACACTGGCAGAAATCTTCTGAAAGGAGTCGGACACCATCCCAGTGACAGCTTTTGTACCTTTTCTCTGCGAGTGAATGTGCTGACGAGCATTTATGATCAACTAAAATACTCACTAATGTCATTTCTATTGAGTCTTGTGTGTCATGAATTTATGTTTACACATTTCTAATGATTTTAACTGTATAATATTAACTTTAAGTGTAATATTGAATATCACACTACAGTTAAAATTGTAAGTATTAATTATAAGCATTATTAATATTGTTATGACGTGCCTCAAGTATGCTAGTCTACATCAAATTAAGTGTACGTCTTTAAAGTTTGACAAAAGATTATTAAAATGTGCTTTAAGTAAACCGTTTAATGTGAGATTATTACAAAGTGCGCTTTTTAGAAGCGTGTTAGGAGAGTGTCTCTCTTTAAGTCCTCTGCAAGTACAGTTTTTTTTTAAATATGTAAGATTTGAAGTACACTACAAGTGCGCATTAAATACAATCAAGGGCACTTCTTTTTCACAGGAAGGGTGTCTATAAACCTCGATCAGTGAAGCTAGTCTGCAGCCCCATCTCTTCATCTTCATGTGAAATATGACAGAAATATGACAGCTGCAATCACAGTTTATCACAGTATGACTGAGAAATGAAGCAGCCTAACATGCAGTTAGGGTTTGAATGAAAAACACTGGATGAAACACTGACAGCAGCAGATGACGCGTTATGACGAGTTATGGAGAGTTATGGAGTGTTATGAAGCTCTATGGAGCATTATGTAGAGTTATGACGAGTTATGGAGAGTTATGAAGCGCTATGGAGCATTATGGAGAGTTATGACGAGTTATGGAGAGTTATGAAGCGCTATGGAGCATTATGGAGAGTTATGAAGCACTATGGAGCATTATGGAGAGTTATGACGAGTTATGGAGAGTTATGAAGCGCTATGGAGCATTATGGAGAGTTATGACGAGTTATGGAGAGTTATGAAGCCCTATGGAGCATTATGGAGAGTTATGAAGCACTATGGAGCATTATGGAGAGTTATGAAGCACTATGGAGCATTATGGAGAGTTATGACGAGTTATGGAGTGTTATGAAGCGCTATGGAGAGTTATGAAGTGCTATGGAGTGTTATGAAGCACTATGGAGCATTATGGAGAGTTATGAAGCGCTATGGAGCATTATGGAGAGTTATGACGCGTTATGGAGAGTTATGAAGCGCTATGAAGAGTTATGAAGCGCTATGGAGCATTATGGAGAGTTATGACGCGTTATGGAGAGTTATGGAATTATGAAGCACTATGGAGCATTATGGAGAGTTATGACGCGTTATGGAGAGTTATGATGCGTTATGAAGCTGCACACTTGTTGGAGAATGAATGAATCGTGTGTGAATGCGTCTCTAATACAGCAGTGTTCATCTGTCACCGATCATCAGAGCAAAAGATTATTTTGTGCATCGGGTGATGTGAATCTGCTGACAGTGTGCGCCGTTATTTACTCACTTCAGCGCTTTGCGTTCACAGGAGTGTGAGTATCAGCGGCGACGACATCCGAGCATCTTCCGTCGAGAGAAACCGCCACAGCTGAAGCTACTTCTCCTCAGATTGAGCGCGACACAGAAGACGCGACGCGAAATCGCTGTTTACACTGGAGTCCATCATTATCCTACCTTCACCTCTGAACTTCCGCCTCTGACGACACGACGCTCACCCGACCAATCACAGACAACTTCCGAACTGCTAAGCCCCGCCCCGTCA